CACAGTCTCAGCACACAGCATTTCACAGTCACAGGGTGCCTATCTGCCCCAGCTAGCCTACCCCACCCTCCCAGCCAGATTCAAATTGAGTGGGAAATTGAGTGGGAAATTTCCCCTAAAACCCCTGGATCATACACATGCACAAGAGCTACCACAGCTGTTACTCATTTCAAAATGGTGGCTTCCCCACCAGTTGCCAGCCCACACAAGTGCCACCACAGTTGCTACTGATTTCAAAATGGGGCCTTCTCCCCACCTGTTGCCGGGTGTGTGCACCCACGCTGCTGCAGCCACTACTAATATCAAAACGGCACCCTCTCCCAGCCAGCTGCTGGGCACCTTTGTGGGGCTATGGGGAGAGAGAAATGTGCCATTTTGCTGGGTCAGGTGGGTATCCTGTCCCTCTTAGTGCTAAGGCTGGACTCAAAGACTGTGGTCTGCCAGGCTCTCTCTCCGATTCAATAACCACTGGCCCTCATGTGGGGTGCAGTGTCACAGGCAGTGGACTTGACCCACTGTGTCACAATACCAGCCACAGTGCTGTCACTCTAAATTCCCTGAAAGTCACTTAAGCCAGATGTAAAGTTCTCAAAAACAGGGGCAGGGTGCAACAGTGGTATTTGGAGGACAGGATCCTTTTTGCCTGTGCTAGCTCTGGCAGGCTGCGTGCAGACTGCTCCAAGCACATGTACACACCTGCCTGCCATGGAGCTAGGGGGCTGGGGTAACTGTTACTGTGTGAGTTGAAACTGACACCTCCAAGCCTTCCCTTGGAAGTTACAAGACTTACAAATAGACTGGAATTCCAAGAGTTTGCATCAAACTCTGTCAGTGCAATTGCTGTCTAGGTGGGGAGAGAGATTCCTGGTGCATCCCCCTCTGTCATCTTCCCAGAATCCTCTTCCTTCCCTACTTTAATGTAGAGTAAGCGCTAAAATCGCCTTCCACTTAGGGCACAGCAGTCTGCCGAGGAGCACGGGGAGCTCCTGCAGATCTGGGCACCCACCCTGGGGTGTGGTGGTGGCTGTTCCTCTGCGCTCTCCTCTGCTCAGAGCTGCATCTGGCCCCTCATGCGCCTCTGCCAGCTCGTGGGTGGAGTCTGTGGTGAACACTCACAATATTTTGCCTTTCATTTGTTTTGAGAAACTGGAGACTCGAGTACCGCACTTAGCAGGCATTTCAAACTAGTAATATCCTCTTAATTTCCCACCTTGCACTGCCCCAGGCAAAAACCCCAGCAATCCTTCTGAAGTATCTCATGGGCTCATGTGGAAGTGTTCCCTCATTAAACCCCTGAAGATCGAGTTAGAAGCAGGAAGAGCAGGGTGAGGATGAAGGAAGACTGGCTTTCACACCAGCCGCAGGGAGTGAGGGGTGGGTGAGGGATGAAAAAACAATCAGTTTTTGAGTTTTTGCACAGTTACCTTTTGAAAGAATTCTCCATTACTGAAATTGAACACAACAGAGGGTGAATGCCACACACAATCATAACACTCTGAAAAAGAGAGACTGTATCTTCCATGAAGTTTTAAGACCCAAGCTCATGTAAAATGATCCCAGACAGAAAGTGAAAGCTGATTTCTCCCTTTCTGTACACAGCAGATAACACGCACAAGATTCACTGACGAGGTTTACTGTCAGAGAGGGACAGAGGAGCCAGCAGCTCTTTTCCTGCTCCCTTTAGAACAGTCTGGAAGGCACCAAGGCTGGCCTGAGGCAGGAACTGAGCAAACCTCAGCCACGTGCTGCTTACTGGCCTGTGATAAACATTTCAATAGAACAGTTTTGAAATTAAGTCCTTTGTATTCATAATCTGAAATTAAGAGCAGTATTTTATTTACTTTATGTGTATAAAGTAAATAAAAACATTTCAAAAACAACCCGAATTAAAAAAATTTTTTTTAAATCTTAGAAAATAGAATCCAGCTACCAATGGCTCTTTTTCAATAGGAAAAGTATGAACTACATGGAGGTTCTGATTCTTAACAGGAAATGGCTCCTACAAATCAGTAAGAAAAAACTGAGAAGGATAAGAATTACCAACCAGAACAGAATACAGCAAATGAGAAATAAACATTACCATAAACACACATTCAGCATATCTGCCCATCACACTCAGAGAGCTCACTGCTGGTGCCGTTGGGCACCGCAAGGAAGGCTCTGCCACACTGCCCTTCCACCCAAAGCACCCACCTGGCATGGACTCTGCCTGTGAGGGAAGAGCCAGAGGCTGCCGTCTTAATCAGGCAAGTGTGAACACGGGTGGGGGTGGGGCAACTGGCTGACGTAGCAGTAAATGCTACATGTAGTCCTAGCGTCCCATGTGAGTCATTGAAAAATGTAGAATATATGTAATAGATGTAAAAGTCTGTAATTTATTAAATATAAAAGCAGATTATAAAATAAGTATATGATCCTGTTTTTGTAAAAAATGAAAGAAATCCCTGAGATTTATGTCAAATACTAATGCTGCTATTACTCAGAGGTAGGATTATAGATTTTAATCTCTACTTTACACTTGGGTGCTTTCTAGATTTTATGCTATAAGCATTAATGTTTTAATTTTTCAGAAAAAAATGCATAATAAAATACATCCTATTTTGGATAATTTAAAAAACCTTTTCACACATTTCAAAATGCAGAATTACAAAATCAATAACTTTTATTAACACGATATAAAAATTTTTAGTGTGATATACAGAATTCCCAGAGAGCAATTCTAAAACATTTTAATGCATTTAAAAAATCTTAATTTACAAGATACCTTGTTTTACTGCCACTGACCTTTTAATACAAAAAATTTGTTTTTGCTGTAAAACTACATTAGGGTTGGGGTTAGGTAGTTCTCTTCCCTTCATTCTATCATGAGGAATGTTCTTTAGTCTCCTGCTAAGACCTTTGTACTTCAGACACGAAGTTACACAGGTTCTGTATGTAACTATGACAGGATGACTAGGGTTCTGGTACGGTGCAACCAGCTACACCACAGGCAAACAGGGCTGCTGTGTGCGCTGCCCTCTCTGGTTAGGGAGGGCAGGCCCTTTGCAGAGAACTAGACACAGCTTTGTGAGGCACTGATCCAGGCTGTGGATGTGGAAAAGCCTGGTTGTCTTTCTGAAGCATGCATAATGCATAAACTTTCCCACCCTAATCCCACAAAAACCCAATAGGGTCTTAACACACTCTTAATTAGTTATATAAAAATAATCTCTAGGTTCGTGCTTGACTTCAAATTCTCAGAAGTATCTAAAAGAGCTTACATTCTCCTCTTTGACTTAGGTTCAATATTAGATCACTCATTTTAATCAGACTAAGTCAGTTGAAAATGTTTGGCCAAATTTTGTAGGCATAGAACTCAAAACACAAAAGCTGGTGACAGTGTAACCATCTCCACCTTTGAGGAAGGTCACGGCCATCACACCACACCTTGACTGTATGCAGGACACTCACCGGACAGCACCATGGACACAAAGCTTTAGACTTTGCACCACTGCTTCCCAGTCTGTTGACTTGTAATGAAATAATTCAGTACACTTCTATGAAAAGAATATAATAACGTTATGAAAAGAATATAATAACGTTATGAAAACCAGCACTTTAACTCGTGTGAAGTTACACGCCTGAAAAGTGATCACACTGAATGCTGGTTTATCTTTCTAAGTGTTAGCAACAACAACAATCAGACAACTGGGCACTCGGGTTTCAAGAAAGAAACCAGCAGAGGAAGTGCTGCGTGGCCAAGGTGTGGGCACACTCCCTTTCTTTGAGCACTGCTGGGCGGGGTGGGGGGGAGCCTTAGAGTGCTCTCCAGGATAAACTCTTTACATGACCTTGTCACTTAAAGTGGGCATAAGTCATCAAATTTTAACAATCAGGAACTAGATTTTGAGCCTAAAAGTGCAAACTTGCAGTACAGCAGAGAACAGCTGCAGTGTCTGCGACTCTCATGATCCACACCAGGCCTTTCCTAGCCTCTCTTTCCACACCAGGCCTTTCCTAGTCACTATCTGTTAAGATATGGGCATCTGCTTTCCAGTACATTTCTTGGAATAATTCAGTGCTTCTAAACTGAGAGTGGGAAGTGTTGAGGGGGATGTGCGGGCTGCTGTGAAGACTGGGCCCCTCCTCCCCGTGGCAGCTCTGCAGCGCCCCCACCTGCACGTGACTCCCAGCACGCTCACTGGGCAGCTGGGCAGGCACACCATGTTCACATGTTGTAGGCCACGTAGATCGGGTCCAGCTGGTCGGCCAGGAAGCCATCCCGCAGGTGCATGCGCTGCTTCTCGCCACGAGAGTTGATGGGGATCACGCCCGGGTCCACAAGGACCACCACACCCACCACCAGGTAGTGCTCCTCCAGCACCACATTGGTCACCAGTGCCACCAGGTCCAGCGCATCCTGCTCCAGGCCGTCCAGCTCCACCACCACCACCAGCAGGTTGGTCCAGGTGAACACGGCACTGTGGGGAAACAGACGGTCACTCTGATGGCACAGGTGCTGGGCCAATGGGCACTTAGGGAAGGGTGACCAAAAAAGAATTGGTGCCCGCTCATGAACGTGACACCACTGCTAGCACCACTCACTACCAGGCGAGGCTTCCTGCCTCACAGGAGTGTCTGCACTAATTAACGTTCCTGCTCAGGGGTGTGGCACCACTGCTGTTGACAGCCGCGCCTGTCCCTACAAAGTGAAGAACGTAGGAGCCACAACCATTTAAGTCAAGAAAATCACATTAAAAGTAGAAGCACTTCAGGGTGAAGGCTGTCGGGATCTTAGATTTTGCCAGTGCACTTGGGAACAGTCTCTGCCCCACACAGACGGGGAGTGTGCCCTGGTGCGGTTTGTGGAGATGCATCCAGGGGGAGAAGGACCCTCCTGCAGAGTGAGCACATCCGGCTCTTCCAGGAACCAGGTCAACTGTGCAGAGTGCTGGCTCTGCCCCAGCCCGCGCGTGGTGCAGGCCCCGCCCCTCAGCCGCTCTCACCACTCGGCGATGCTCCTGTGTGCTCGGATCACAGATGTCTCGATGTCGATGGGGTGGTAGCGCATACCTCTCAGCTCCAGCGTTTCATCCAGAGACCCAACCACATACAGCGCATCGTGTGGCTCTGTGGACGGCACACGTGTGCACACTCAGGTACATCGTGTGGCTCTGTGGACAGCACACGTGCACACTCATGTGCATCATGTGGCTCTGTGGACTGCACACGTGTGCACACTCAGGTACATCGTGTGGCTCTGTGGACGGCACACGTGTGCACACTCAGGTGCATCGTGTGGCTCTGTGGACGGCACACGTGTGCACACTCAGGTGCATCGTGTGGCTCTGGACGGCACACGTGTGCACACTCAGGTGCATCGTGTGGGTCTGTGGACGGCACACGTGTGCACACTCAGGTACATCGTGTGGCTCTGTGGACGGCACACGTGTGCACACTCAGGTGCATCGTGTGGCTCTGTGGACGGCACATGTGCACACTCAGGTGCATCGTGTGGCTCTGTGGACGGCACACGTGCACACTCAGGTGCATCGTGTGGCTCTGTGGACGGCACACGTGTGCACACTCAGGTGCATCGTGTGGGTCTGTGGACGGCACACGTGTGCACACTCAGGTACATCGTGTGGCTCTGTGGACGGCACACGTGTGCACACTCAGGTGCATCGTGTGGCTCTGTGGACAGCACACGTGTGCACACTCAGGTAGCGCCCGCGTGAACACCCAGCCATCTGCCATGTGAGCCCCACTGGGCGCTCTCTGATATGGGCAGCTTGACTCAAATACCACGTGTTACCTGTGTCCCATGCAGACAGCTCAGCCTGTGGCAAAGTTGCGGCCACACATGAACACACCTCCGGAAGTAAAAGACCATCGACAGAGGTTTGTCTGCCGGCTTGCTGTGGTGACATGGGCTTGTGTGGGGAGGGGCTACACATGCGGCTGAACTGGGCTGGGAAGGCTGACTCCACCTGGGGAGAAGCCTGGCGGCCCAGTCATCAACCATCTCCTCTGCACCACCACACGCAGCACAGCCAGGGCCCAGTCATCAACCATCTCCTCTGCACCACCACACGCAGCACAGCCAGGGCCCAGTCATCAACCATCTCCTCTGCACCACCACACGCAGCACAGCCAGGGCCCGGCATCAACCATCTCCTCTGCACCACCACACGCAGCACAGCCAGGGCCCAGTCATCAACCATCTCCTCTGCACCACCACACGCAGCACAGCCAGGGCCCGGCATCAACCATCTCCTCTGCACCACCACACGCAGCACAGCCAGGGCCCAGCATCAACCATCTCCTCTGCACCACCACACGCAGCACAGCCAGGGCCCGGCATCAACCATCTCCTCTGCACCACCACACGCAGCACAGCCAGGGCCCAGCATCAGCCATCTCCTCTGCACCACCACACGCAGCACAGCCAGGGCCCAGTCATCAACCATCTCCTCTGCACCACCACACGCAGCACAGCCAGGGCCCGGCATCAGCCATCTCCTCTGCACCACCACACGCAGCACAGCCAGGGCCCGGCATCAACCATCTCCTCTGCACCACCACACGCAGCACAGCCAGGGCCCGGCATCAACCATCTCCTCTGCACCACCACACGCAGCACAGCCAGGGCCCAGTCATCAACCATCTCCTCTGCACCACCACACGCAGCACAGCCAGGGCCCAGTCATCAACCATCTCCTCTGCACCACCACACGCAGCACAGCCAGGGCCCGGTGGCAGCAAGGGGTAGCCTCAGGACAACAGCAATTCTCAGCGAAAGCAGCCATCAGAGTCGGTGGCAGCCACAATACAGAGGAGGAGCCCTGCAGCTCCAGGGGTTCTCAGGGCTCACAGGGACGCCGCCACGACCCCTCACCTCCACTGGCATCAGTGAGCTCCGTTCTCCGAAGGAAGCCAAGGTAGCCAGTCCGTGCCCAAATGGTCTGGCTGTCTCCAAAGCTCAGCCGGGCACTGAAGTGGTCGGCATGGAGGGCCTCCTCCCCATAGATGGTGTAGTACCCGGTGGCATTGTGGGGGCTGCTCACCCAGATCTAGGGGACCAGACGACAGGAATGGGACACATCACAAGCTGTTGAGGACAAATTCTGTCAGCAGACACCCACTGGCCAAGAATAACCTCAAGAAACTGACCATGGGATTCAGTTTCAGAGCCCCTAATTTTGTGAGCCCAGTTAAACAATTTCTCTCTCCTCAAAAAACTCTTCTTCCCCCCACTGACGTTGCAGGCATATGCGGTGTGTGCAGACAGAACCCAGGCTGCTCACGGCAAGCCACTGCTGACCAGCAGGGAGAGCGAGGAGCAGTCTCAGCTTCCACAACAGGGACCAAGGACACAGTGCAGGCCACCCGCTCACACTGGGGCCGCATGAACTGAGGTCTGTCCAGCGCACAGCCCAGCCCCCACACTTGCTGCTACTGCTCCCAGATGGCCTCAGCCGGCAGCTTCTGAAAGGAGGGGGTGGCCGGGAGAGGTTCCCCTGAATGCCTGGGACCACTGTCTCTGAGGGGCACATGGCTGAGGGAGCGCCACTCATACCATCTACCCTCAGGACTGGGCCCCCCAGCATGGTTCACTGGAAGCCCCCAGACTGACTTCACAGCACAGATGCCTGGCAGGGGTCCACACTTCATGGTACTGCACTGGCCCTGAGCCCCCTCTGGGTCTACACTCCACTCAACGCAGGAGCTGCTCTTCAAGGAGCAGCTGTTTGCCACATGCTGTGGGTCCCTGTGTGCCTCCTCCAGCTTCCTAGGGGCCTCTGCCAGGAGTGACCGGAAGAGCTGGTCCCACAGCACTTGAGGGCCTACAGAAAGGCCAGCCTAGGGGCATGGCATTCACTGAGGAAAAAAGCTAAATGGATTCTGGGATACTGTGACCCCAGCGGGTTTAAGATCTCCACACCTGGGGCAGCAAAGGGTGAAGGTGGTGAGCTGAGAGCTCTGGCCCCTCCCCAGGTGCCCAGCCTCAGCCTGGCCTGGCTCACCTCTCCCAGGTGCGAGTCCCCGAGGGGCCCTTTGGTCTCGGTGTGTGCAATGATGACTTTCACTCCAGGGAGGATCTGGAAGAGAAAGCAGTGTCCCTTGTCGAAGGAAACAAGACACAAGACCTCTTGATTCATGACGCTAAAAACAGTATCCCACCCTATCCTGATCCTGAGTGACTTCTTCCTGCGGCTGCAACCCCCTCAGCCGAGGCAGGACGTGACTGGGACCACTGGTGCCTGTACTCTCCCAGGGCCCAAGGGCACTGACAGTGTGAATCTCAGTGCAGGCAGGAGAGGGCAAAGGCCATAGGAGGGGCTGGCGCCTGCAGTGCCGGCATCCCATGTGGGCGCTGGTTTGAGTCCCAGCTGCTCCACTTCCGATGCAGCTCTCTGCTATGGCCTGGGAAAACAGTAGAAGATGGTCCAAGTCCTTGGGCCCCCGCACCCACGTGGGAGACTCGGAAGAAGCTCCTGGCTTCAGATCGGTGCAGCTCCAGCCGTTGTGGCCAATTGGAGCAGATGATAGACCCCTTTCTCTCTCCCTGCCTCTGCTTCTCTGTAATTCTGCCTTTCAAATAAATAAATAAAATCTTTAAAAAAAAAAAAAAGCCATAGGCAGGCAGCAGCTCCTCGTTGGTGCCAGGCCCTCCCTACACCCTGCCCTGCTGGGACTGCAGTTTTCCTTGGATGCTCCTGGAGTCTTCACCTTCTCCCTGTGTGATCCCATAAACCCCCACGCCAGGGATTTCCTTCCAGAACATAAATGCATCAGACCCAATTTACTGTGGTATCACACAGGAGAGGGCTAAAAAGTTCAACGAAAAAGACTACAACCCAGCCATATAGCGCTGTAAAGAAACAGGCAGGAAAAGGCACCTCTCTGGGGATGGCAATAGGGTGTGGTGGGTTAAACCAATGCCTGCAACACTGGCATCCAGTGTGGGCACTGGTTCAAGTCCCAGCTTGTCCATCTCAAGTACAGCTCCCTGCTAATGTGCCCAGGAAAAGCAGTGGAAGATGGCCCAAGTGCTTGGGCCCTTGCACCCACGTGGGAGACCTGGATGAAACTCCAGGCTTCTGGTTTCAGCTTGGCCCAGTCTCCGCTGATACAGTCATTGGGGGAGTGAATCAGCAGACAGAAGACTTCTCCCTGTCTTCCCTCCTCCCCCCGTAAATCTACCTTTTAAATAAATAAATAAATATTTAAAAAAAAAAAAACAAACACCATCTGAGGACCAATGACACAGGGAAGACTTGGTGTACAGAAAGGACCAGGAACAACCATGCAGAGTGGGCACTCCAGCTGAGACATGCAGATGGGACATGCCACACATGGGCTATCTCATTACATGGTTTTTGTCTTTTGTTGTTCTGACAAAGTTAAGATTTTTTTTTAAAGTTTATGTATTTACTTGAAAGGCAGAGTTAGAGACAGGCAGATACATGGGCATCCATCTGCTTGTTTACTCCCCAAATGGCCTCAATGGCGGGAACTGGGCCAGTTTGAAGCCAGGAGCTTCATCCAAGTCTGAATGTAGCATGTTCACCCATGTGGGTGCAGGGGCCCATACACTTGAACCATCTTCCATTGCTTTCCCAGGCACATCAGCAAGGAGTTGGACTGGAAGTGGAACAGCTGGGACTCGAACCGGCGCCCATAAGGGATGCCAGCATCACAGGCATCGGCTTTACCTGCTATACTCCACAGTGCAGGCCACATCCCGCTACAGTTACTTGATTCAAATTTCGGCTAGACTGCTTCCTAGGGTAACTTTACTTATGTATTTAATAAATATTTACTTGCCTATTTCAACGGGAAGAAGAAACATAGCTTGTGCACACTGGTTTTCTCCCCAGATGCCTAAGCCTGGAACACAATCCAGATCTCCCATGTGGTGGCAGGGACCCAAGTATTTGACCTATCATCTGCTTCTTCCCAGGGCACACGTAGCAGAAAGCTGGAATTGGGAGCGGAGTCAGGACTCAAACCCAGGAACTCCAATATGGGATGGGGGCATCCAGGACACCACCGTAACAGCTAGGCCTAACCTTGGCTCCTAGACTAACTTTATAAAGGGGAACTGAGTTTCTCAATACCTTCCCAGCGAGCTCATCTATCCATCCACTTACCCACCCACCCATGCGTTCACTCACCCATCCGTCCATCCGTTCTTCCTGCTCACTCCCAACCCCTCTGCAGCCACCGCGGTCTCCCTGTGACTCCCACCCAGGACCTCTGCCATAGCTACGCCTTCTGCCCCACCTTGCAGGAACCTGCATGCTGGTCACCATGTGGCCTGGCTCTGCCCATCTCTGGCCACCTCCCTGCCTCCTTGAGAGTGGCTGTGCCATTGCAGTGAGCAGATGGTGGTGGCTGAGCTGTTTCTTGCCTCTGGGGTTGTGAAGGGGTTGCGGGTTCTCATCTAGACTGGGCACACAGGGCTGCACTCACACCGCCAGCCCTACATTCTCATCAGGCCATGGGCATTTTCCTCCTTCCTCTGAAATTTCCTTGGTGCTGGGGATACCTTCTTCCCTGTGCCGACATTGCTGACCCCTCGGATGGTTCAGTTTCTACCTGGGTGTCCATAAGCAGGCTCACTGCTGCTTCCCACCCCCAAGCAGCCAACGGGGTGCTCCCCAGGCTTGGATGGCAAACCCCGACATGGGGTCCAGGTTGTCACCTCTTGCCCAAGGACCTGGGGGGTTTCTTTGTTGCTGCATCCTTTTCTGGGGCCAAGTTCTTCCTATTCCAATCCAGGTCCTGTTGCCTTTGGCTCTGGATACGTGGAAGGGCCAGGCGCCTTGCTTTTGGCAGTCCCCAGAGGCCTTGCACTTGCCCAAC